CCCGTCTCCCTCCGCGGGTTCCCCACAACAGTGTCGGCGGCGCGGCTGACTCTGTTGGACGACTATTTCCAGCCATGTGGCCCGTGACACCGGGTCGTGGCTGCGTTTCAACTAAAACGGCCGGCGGGCCGTAAAAAAAAACTCTCGCGCGCGGGCCTGGGTACAAAGTCTTGCATTAGCACATCGCTAATTACTGCCACTCACTTTTGAAGTCATTCCTTCCTGATGTCTAACACCGTAAAAAAAAATAATGAAAGAAGGATGCATGAGGGGACGGGATGAAAAGATGCAGCAGACTCAACACAATAGGCCTGAAACATGGAGAGTATGGAGATTCTATAAACGATGTCTAAAGTGAACAAGCTCCATGTACATGCATGTACATGCATATGTGGATGCAGATACGTAGCAAGTCATCTTTCATCGGGGAGCTACTGTCTGTCTTTGACGGCAACACCCCTTTGACAAGTTCATCCGAACGTAAAATGACAACGAGGAGATCATTGCGCTCACCAACTGAGCTGTCTACAGAATCGCAATCCAATCCAATCGTTCCACTTTGGAATCCAAATATGCCAATTGGAAATTGGGGTCCACAGTATGGGCTTGACTATGATGTACAATCTCAAAGCCTTTCACTAAATGTTTAATTGACACACACCCCTACAAAAAAAAAAAAAAAAAATGGCGCACGCTGCTTTCCCAGACCCCCCAGGCAAGACAACACCCCCCCCATTTGAATCCCTCAAGTCGTGTCATGACGATCAAAGCGTGTGACAAAAATAAATGAAGCAAAACCCCAGCGCTCCGATAGCATTTCCATCAAACCTCTCAAGCCCCCTCCGGAGGGGGCAGCCGCAACCACACTTTTGCAGTCCCCGCCATTTAAGGTCCACACACAAAGTCATCGGAGACACTTTGGCGACCCCAGAAAAAAATCTTTAATATGAGCCACCCCCTCCAAAAATGTCATGAAATATACGTTGCTCCCGTCCCGAGCGGCCTTTCTTCCACGTCGCCGACGCAGAGCTTTCATTATCAGCGGCGAGGGAAGCCTTTGGCCCGGCCGTGGCGTGTTTGCTCAGAGGAAATAACTGGCGGCGAAAAACCACACATCCAATCGGCGCTCCTCGCCGGCCGCGCTAACGTTCCAAAACAAGTTCCCGCGCCCCGGTTCGTAGCCACCGCTGCAACAACATTGCGGCCGTCGGCGGCGGCTCGTCTCTTTCTGCTCCTTCAAAGGCGGCCGGCTAACTGGTCCCGCATGTCGCCGGCCCGCCCCCGCCCCCCTCCCGAAAGCCAAGTAAAAGCTGCTTTCAATGTAGCCAGATCAGAAGCAATTATTGATCGCGATCCGGTTTCGCGTCGCGGCCCTCCGCTCACTTGGATGCTGAGCGAGCAGGACTTTCATCTGAGCCGGTGAGGATCTCCAAAGCAGGTTGTCCCCACCCGAAAGCAAAAGGGAGGGAGGGTGAAGGTAACGAATTGAGTCACCAAATGACTTTTTAAAAAGATTGACACAATCGGGATTTTGGAGCTGATCACGGCATAGCAAACTGAAGAAAAACGACAACCCGATCAGAAGATGGACCGAACCATCCAATCAATTGAAATCATATTTTAGGTGAAGAACCACAAGCTCCGTTGAAATGAGGCAAAAAAAAAAAAAAAAAATTCTTTACATTATATTTGACGATGTCGTTATTGTCCGTTTTTGTAAAGTACAATGTTGTTCCAAACCCTTTGGGCGGTTGACCGCTGGAACGAATTAATATAAATACCATTCATTTCAATGGTGAAAGTTGATTTTAGGATGGAACGTGTATCTCAAGGCACCACTCTATCGCATATTTTGCAATGCACTTTGTAAATTTCCAAATCCGCATGATCACACAGTCCAAATCACCAAATTCCAAACTCAAAATAATCACAAAAATTACCAATAGGAAAATCTAGAGGCATGCTCCAAATCAAAAAATAAAAAACCCCACCGAATAATGAGATGTAATTTGGACATAGCAACTCAACTTTCTCCAGTAATTTTCCAGTGCAACTTTTTTTGTACTTAAAATTGTTGCACAGTGTCATATCAAAAATATATTTCATTGTAGTTTTATCGGAGAACCGCCATGCTGGTAAAATAGTAACAATAATAATAATAATAATTAATTGTGGTGTACAAAAATACAACTTTAAAGACATTTTTCTCTGTGTATTCCAAACTGGTTTTCTATAGAAGAGAATTGTTCAGTAATTCACATTATATATATATATATATATATATATATATATATTTTTTTTTATTTATTTTTTTTTTTTTTTTTTTTTTTTGGGGGGGTGGTGAAGGTTCATGAGTGTTGAAAGCAGCCAATGTGGAGATGCCTAATCGGGTCTGAGTGTCCAAAAGTGCATTCATCTCCTCCTCTTCCTCTGAGGTAACGGGATGGATGTAAACAAACGATTATCGGCCGGGCCGTGATTGCCGTGCGGCTCAGCGGCACGGACGGCCAGCCGCTGGCTTTAATAACGGAGCGCCCGTCCTTCAAGAATGTTCCTCATCAGCCCCCTCGTGGCGCACGTCTCGGGTGGAACGCTTGCCGCGGGTCTCCCAGCATCGCTCCAGTCCCGCGATCTCACGAACGCCTCGGCGACATCTTGCAGCAATCAGCCGAATTAGCGAAAGGTCGCGGCGGAGGGAGGTTGTGAAAATAGGCGGCGGGCCGATTAGGGGAAAGGCGAGCTGCGTTCATCAGCGGCGGGAATAATTCCTCCTGAAGAGTTTTGATCAGGCTTCATCTGAGACAAAGAAATGTTTACAAACACTGTCAGGGGCCCCGGCATTGCACTCTGGGGTGCGCCGTTGCATTCGTCACACCGTCTTTGGCAGGGGCCGTACGTTTCCCTTGAACCAAATTTTTTTTTTTTTTTTTATCTTTGAAATTTTGATTGATGCGAGTCAATAAGGAAGAGACATTGCAAAACTAATTTTCCAACTCCGTGGATAGGAAAGCCCTTGAAAAATAATACGATGTAATGACATATTATTATTGTGTGCACCGTTGTCCCTTTTAATTTTATTGTCAACTCTATTTGATCGGGTATGATTTTCTTCTGGCGTTTGTTTTGCTAAAATGGATGCAGGTTGTCACAGGATAACATGTTGCTTTTTATTTGGGGGTGAGGGGGTAGTTTCAATTCCAGTGGTATCTACAGACTTTACATTTGCATCAGAAAATTTGTGTCTTTTTAATTGATTTTCATTGAATGAATAGTTTGGATTGTGTGTGTGTGTGTGTGTGTGTGTGTGTGTGTGTGTGTGTGTGTGTGTGTGTGTGTGTGTGTGTGTGTGTGTGTGTGTGTGTGTGTGGACCGAACTTTAATTCCCATGTTTGTTTGTTTTTTTCTGGCCGCGTGGACACTTGCATCCTCGTTCTTCTCATCCATTCAGCACACACAAAAATAGTCATTTACCCACAATGGTGTTGGACTGACATTGATGCCTCTGAATTGGTCCCATAGATAATTGCTTCATTTGTTTCTTGGTCTTTGTTGCAATTGGAGCTGATCGTTTGCTCATTTCTTTTTTTTTATTTGACTGGAGTGCAGAAGTCCGCTTGATGTTGTGATCTGCTTTCATTACAAAGCGCCAAACCACGCGACTGTAACTGAAGTCAGTCATAATTACAATCCTATTCTTTTAGTCTGTCAGAGCAAATATATTTGATTTCCTCCGCATGCAAGAAGGGCATTTGTTTTCCTACTATCATTCATCTTCTTAATGGCATCAATTTGTCAACTGTCCAAAGTCACTTTATTCAACATAAAAACGCCCTCATGTAGAAGCACCTAAACAGTGAGCACGCTGGGGGTTTTTACACACTTCTTTTCGTCAATATTGGGATTATTTGTGCATTTACACGTTCATTGTAATTTATAAATGGCAATATGTGAGGTGATGAACAATAGGTTCAATCTGCCAATTATTCTGTACCATTTTGACACGTTGGAAACCAAAAATAAATCATCCATAATTTTAACTTTCTACCAAATTTAATATCCTTTTTTGGGGGGTGGGGCACTTTTATGTTATTTGTGCCCTGGTGAAATTCACCCCCCGTCCCCCCCAATTTTTTTTTTTTTTTAAATATAACTGATGCATTTAATGAGAAAATGTTAATGAATTTCAAGAGAAGCATAGTGATGCCAGCGCTCCTATCTGGGTGACACTTTGCCACTCTCAGCTGACACATTTTGAAGATGACTTGGAAAAGTCACATTTTCCCATTTGGAAAAGTAAACGGGAGGGGCGGGCCTTTTTCGAAATCAGAGCAAACTTTACTTGGACAACACGCGCGCTTATAACTAACTCCAACAGCGTCTTTCACGGTACCCCCCGCCCCCCCCCCCTTCCCCAGAGAAAAAAACATGTAAATGAATATTAGGTAAACACGCACCGTTGTGATTGTGTTCAGTCTTTTTTTTTTTTCAAGTGAGCGCAGCCGTCGTCCCGGTTGATTTGTGCTCGCTCCGAAAAGAGTCGCGCGCGCACCCGTCACCAGACGCTCTTTGGCTCCTCCAGGTGTCCGTCAAAGTGAGGTGAACCTCTCCAACTTGAAAAGAACAAAGTGTTTCGGACTTGAGTGTGTGTGTGCGCGTCGTATTTCCAACAGTGGGCGTGTCGGCCGGGAAGAAGGCCACCTCCACCTCCACCTCCGCGCGCGTCAGGTTACTTTTTTTTTTTTGTTGTTTTGAGTGACAGCGTCACCATGGCGAATAATTCCACGCCGGGCTATTGTCTGGTCCCCGGGCTCGAGCGAGCGACCAATCAGGCTGCGCGTCCGCGCGCGTTTGCCAGCTTGGAAGAATATTTTTAAAAGGGAGCTCCGCCGCCAGCGCTGAGAAGCAGCAGGCGCGAGAGGACGACGAGAGCGGCGGCGGTCCCAACTTTTGCGCACCAACTTCGGAGGAAGGCGCGACTCGACCTCGGAGGGGGGGGTTCCATTGACGTCCCCCAGCCCCCCCAGGGCCCCCGCGGCCACCCTCCCATGGCCGGAGCGTCGCGTCGCCTGGCGCGCTGAGCGAGCGGGACCTGCCCCGCCGCGAGCGCCGCGCGTCACCATGTCCATGCTGCCGACGTTCGGCTTCACGCAGGAGCAAGTGGCGTGCGTGTGCGAGGTGCTGCAGCAGGGCGGCAACATCGAGCGCCTGGGCCGCTTCCTGTGGTCGCTGCCGGCCTGCGAGCACCTGCACAAGAACGAGAGCGTGCTGAAGGCCAAGGCGGTGGTGGCCTTCCACCGCGGCAACTTCCGCGAGCTCTACAAGATCCTGGAGAGCCACCAGTTCTCGGCGCACAACCACCCCAAGCTGCAGCAGCTGTGGCTCAAGGCGCACTACATCGAGGCGGAGAAGCTGCGCGGGCGGCCGCTGGGCGCCGTGGGCAAGTACCGCGTGCGCCGCAAGTTCCCGCTGCCGCGCTCCATCTGGGACGGCGAGGAGACCAGCTACTGCTTCAAGGAGAAGAGCCGCAGCGTACTGCGCGAGTGGTACACGCACAACCCCTACCCGTCCCCGCGCGAGAAGCGCGAGCTGGCCGAGGCCACCGGACTCACCACCACGCAGGTCAGCAACTGGTTCAAGAACCGCCGCCAGCGGGACCGCGCCGCCGAGGCCAAGGAGAGGTGAGCCGGCGCCCGAAAATTGCCCCTTCGTCCGCTATTGACGCGGCAAAATTCAGTCCGGGTGGGGCCCTCAACTTCAAAATACAACTTCATCTATTTTCAACATTTGCGACCGACTGCTATTCATTTGGACATTTGTTTCTGGGTTTTTTTGTGGACAACGTGGATTTTCCACATTTGAATTGGGCCTCTACAAAAGGCTCTTAAAGTTGATATAGTGGAGGGCAAAACAACCAAGACACCAAATGGAACAATATTTGATTCTTGATGGGACATGTGAACCACAACTGGGGCCTGACTGAACACTTCCAGTAAAAGCAGTTGAACATCGATCATGATAGAGCGAACATTTATTATATAGGCAACCACTCAACCCCCCTAAAAGATATCATATCATAAATAGCCATAAAATGTAGATATTGGGTGGGAAAAAAATCATCATGCATTGATCAAACCCCACTTTTATTCCTACCCCAACCACACGTTGGGCTCCCGGTTTAACTTCTCAGAGCCCTGCCATAGAGAAATCTCAATCATACTCCCACCCTTTATTTTTTTTTCCCTTCCACAGAGCAATTTGTTTTGCACTCTGACTATTGTACATAATAATAATGTACACCCAAAACATATTTGCATTCGTCTAATTAATGCAACAGTGTGCCTTAGTGATTTTATTAACAGGATTCCACTCCTGCTAACTCAACCCTATCTGACTTGGGATTCCCTCTGAGACCCCGACGTTCACGTTTTCTCTCCATTGCGCGTGCAGCACTGCGCGTTGCATCCTTGGGATGTACGCAAACGATAGAGGCCTAATGACGTCGGCGTCAAAATATCTGACCTCCGACGACAGCGAAGTGAATATGCGTATGAAGTCACGCTTGACGACGCCGTCACGACAACAGTGTGTTGCGATCGGTCAATAAAAACATGTTTTGTCGGGGTCAAAAGTCGCGGTGCGACCTAAGTGACGAAAAACTTGACCTACTTGTGATCTTTTTCAAGTGTTTCAAGTGAATGAACGAAAGCCGAAATGGCAGGCCGCGCTCTCGGGTGGATGCTCCAAGTTTCGTGCAAAATAACCTCCGTTGTGACGTGCCGCCGTGGCTTTTTTTTTTTTCCAGGCGCTATCGGTCAGAATTTTGCCGCAGATGAGCACGCAGAAAAACACTCCGAGTGGTGTGCGCGCGCGTCCAAGTGGAAGAAGACAAGTTGCTGTCAGGTGTTTGCTGCGCGCACGCATGCTCGGTGTCTTCTTTCAGCCCCCGGCCACTAATTCGAGGCTGAAAGCTGCAAATCAATCACGTCGTCCCGCACACTCAGAAAGAGGAAAAAAAAAAAGCCAGCTGCAGAATTTGCTCCTTTATTGGAGACATTTTCACAGCAGAAAAAATAAACTTGCCACCAAATGAAAACGTCTAAAAAGAAGAATGTAAACATCCAAATGCCCAAAAAAGGACATCGTGTGAGGCTTTTCGCAACATGGAGCCAAAATAGTGGAGCTAATAAATTTACACACCTGACAAAATGTGTGAAACATTCGCTTTTTTTAAATGTTTTTTTTTATAGAAAGCGATTAATGAGCCATCTGATTGTTTTCTTTTGGTTTAACGACTGCGCTTTTTTGAACTGGGTATTGTACCCGTGCACCTTCATCGTGACATTGACACTTTTGCCCAGGTTGTACAAACTGACAGAATTTGTAAAGGTGTGTAGCGCTCACAAAGGCAAAACGCAATTGTTTTCAAGAGGGTTCGTGTAAAAACAAAAACACAGTTTGTGTTTTTGTTTGGGGGGGGGGGGGTGCAAAAACAGTGTATGAAGTTGGAAAAACTTTCAAATCTTAAATGGTTGACATTTATGGGAACAGTACAAGCAAGTTGTTGATGAGTTGTTTTTCTTGATATCGTTCGTCATTTTATTTTATTATTTTTCTTTATTTATTTTGGTTTTTTTTGGGAGGGGGCAACAGAAGCAACAGAAGGCACAGCAGTTCTGCAAACGCTCGTTTGCCCATTTTCACAACAGGCAGCCTTCAAACGAAATTGGCCCCTTTCAAACTGGATTCAAGTTGGTGAACTCCAAGTTTGGACTGCACGCGACTTTTTTTTTTTTTTTTTTTTTTTAACAGTGAGGGGTGTGCTTCATTTAATCTTGTACATCGATGACACGTGTTTTGAATATGGTAAAGTGACGTCAATCTCAACGCTCTGTCTCTCCCCCCCCCCCTCCAAAATAATCAAATAATACACGTTGGTTGGCCACATTTGGATGATGCAAAATCTCGTACATGTTCGAATTCATTCATCCGAATTAAGGACCCCCGTCCCCTAGCCCCAAATGCAACGTGGTAAAAAAAATCGTTTCCGTCATAAAATCTTTAACAGCTTGCACGTATTTCATTTGGAAGAGTAACTTTTCCTTTGAATGAATTTGCACGCGCGGTCACACCGTGGCCTTTATTTCGGTGTGTTCAAAACGAAGGATTGGAAATGTGGAGTCATTTGGATTGGTGCCGTTCACGCTTGGTCACATGGGAAGCTGATTGTGTGTCTCTCCATTTTATTTTATTTATTTTTTTGTTTGTTTCGTTGAGCTCGGGCGTATTATTATTATTATTGCTGTTGTGACCTGGAATAGCTCTGGTGATATGTTCAATATTTTCGGTAGTATTTGGAGTGTGTCATTTGGAAACGTTGACGCCGTTTTGCGTGTTCGCAGGGAGAACAATGAAAACTCCAACAACAACAACAACAATAACGGCGGCGGCGGCAATGCGCTGACTTCGTCGCTGAACGGAACTAAAACTCTTTTGGGCAGCTCGGACGACGACAAAACGCCCGCGGGCACGCCGGACCACCGCCCTTCGCCCAGCCCGGCGCTGCTGCTCGGCTCGGCCGGCGGCGGCGGCGGCGGCGGCG